TTTTTGTTGTTGTTTTGTTTTGTTTGAGTGCTGTGGCTTGAACTCAGGACCCTGTCCTTGCCAGGCAAACATTTATTCTACAGGCCTAATATTTTATATTTCTTTGTGTTTCTCATATGCGTAGATACAGACCCTAAATGTAACAGGTTCTGAATAAAATCTGAACCAAATTGAATACAAGGAGTCTTTCCTTGGCCTAGAGAATCACAAAAGATATGCTTTGTTCTTGCTGTAAAAATCTAGATAACATCTAATGCTTTGGTGCATCCAAAGATTTAGGATACTCTGTGTACCATAAGAGGAAACACCAAAGATACAGATCTTAAGTGAAAATCTAATCTCCTAATACATTTTTTAAAAAACTGTTATTTGTAGGGAAGATCTTTGCCTAAGTATTTTTGACTACCATAAATTAATTTATGGTTAACAGTGATTGAATATGACTATTATAAATTAATTTATGATAGTAAGTAGTGATAGAATGTACTAATAAGCATATTGAGTTTAAAACACAGGCTTGTGAAGTGAGACAGATTTAGTCTCAAGCTCCCTGCTGTTTACTAGCTGTGTAATATTCAGTGAACTATTTTACCCCTCTAATCCTGAATTTTCTATTCCAAATGGAGATTATAATTTTTATAAATACACTGTGGAAGCTTGGTAAATATCTTTGGCATATTATACTTATTCTATTTGTCTTTATGTTCTAGGTATCTGAAAAAATAAACACCTTCTTAACTAAACTTGGTTTAAAATGATTCAAATAAAAACAAACAAAACCTTGTACTCTCCAAGTTAATTTAATATAATAATGTAGAAAAGACATTCTTTGAGTATATTATGAAAAATTAAGATGATTTAAAGGAAGCTATTGTTAAAGTCTCCCTTTCTAAGGACTTATTAGATGTAATTTTAATTAATCATTCAAACTTACTTCTTTTCTAATCCATTCAGGGCTGCTACTGTGTTACATAACACATACAGTAGACCATTATCCAACAACATGTCTGCTACCTTAGAACAGGAATTTAAAATCTGGATCATAAGTAAAAGAGCATTATGTAAGAGTATGTTGTCATATAGGGAGGTTTCCATTAGTCCCAGGATAGGAATGGCAGACCACTTCTGAAAAAGTCCCATGGTTTTCACATCTTCCAGATCAAATCTATAATAAATAATAGTTAATAGCAATTAGAAGAAATTAGTTACAAAATAAGAATCAATGATTAAGACTATAGGCCATTTTGTTAACCACTTAATACTCCAAAAAATAAATTTGAGGAATAAAGATTCTTAGCCTTTTTTTTTTTTTTTTAAGAGTACACATCTTCTCCAAAAACAAAAATAGAGGCTGTTTCTAGAGTTCATCTCAAGATGTACAAGTGTTCAAAGGAATGATATGCACAATCTCAAAATGTTAACTAACTCATTTTGTGGGGCTTTTATATCCAAAGAACCTCTGTGTTAAGGCCTAAAAACAAGTGTATTTTATGTATTTGGTACAGGGTCTCACTATGCAGCTTGAACTCATAGTGATCCTCCTGTTTTCAGCCTCTCCAGCGCTGGGATTACAGGCTAGGACCATTCAGTGGCCAACTCAGCACACCCAGGGGTGGGGCCAGTGTGGCCTGTGGTGCTGGGGATCAAACCCTGGTCCCTGTGCAGGTGCCAAGGACCAAATCCCAGTCCCTGCAGTTGCCTAAGCAGGCACCTAGTCTGCTCAGCTATCTTACTGGCCCTTAATAAGCATATAGGAAAAGCATCTGTACTTTATTTATTTGAAAGATAGTGGGATAGTAAAAAGAGGGTTAGCATAAAGAAATGAATCTTGAGTTCTTGTCCCTATTTGCCTCTGTGATGTAGCAAAATTGTTTAAACTTCTTGTGCCTCATTTTTCTCGTGTGTCAAATATATATAATGATATCTGTGCTTCTTTTTACTCAAAGACTGTTGTGAGATTCAAATGAGATAATGCAGAATTGTTTTGGAGAAATCAAAAGTTGTATATAAGTATACAGTACCTCTGAAATTAACACAATAATGAATTAATACCTCAATGTCTGACACTGTCTGCCACAATCAATACATACTTCTCTATTACACTCATAAAGAGAATTAAGTGTTCTATCAAACCTTTGGACTGGGTGAAAAATACTCTTTCATTTTTGCACTTATTTTCTAATCTTTCAGCACTATACTGGGGTGAAGTCTCAGCAATCAGTAGGCCCAGGTCTTCCAGGGTGGAGCCCATTCTTCTCCCAGATGACCTGAGGGCTCCAAGAGGACTGGGGAGATCCTGAACAGATCACCTGTGTAATTTGGCTTTTTTGTTGTTTGTTTGTTTTTCTTTTCTTTTCATTTTAGGGAAGGGTCTACAGGGTGTCCAGGGTCTCACTACTAGATTGGATTCGTAGTGATCTGCCTGTTTATAGCCTCCCAAGAGCTGGGATTGCAGGCACGCACCACCACGCCCAGTCTCAATCGCTGTCTCAGCACTCTCCAGGGGCAGGGCTGGCACAGCAGGCCCAGGGATCAAACTCTGGCCCCTGTGCCTGCTTGCAGGCGCTTTAGTCTGCTGACCTATTTTGGCCGGCCCTTGTGTAATTTGTTATTGATAACAAATGGGACATCTTTCTTTTCTGGCAGCTTTCTCATATTAATACTAGATGGCAAGTTGTTATAATTTTCTTTCATTTGATGTAACACATTTTTAGTTTTCAGCCTATGAATGAAATACAAAATAAGACATATTGTAGAAAGACTATCATATGTAAAACAATAAATTGATTCACTTGGAAAATTACTTTTAAAAGATTTTTTTCTAAGGGTGACAAAATAATTGTGCTAAGAGTGAGTTCACTAAATTTTACATTTGAAACAAAGGATCCCCAATTATGGTGGAGTGAAAAACCCACTTACTCTTCATCAAGGCTAATACGTCGACCAAAGAACATTTCAATGAAGCATTCTAACAATTCCTGAGTTCCCCGATGAAGATACAACTGGTTGGCTAGCAAGGAAAAGCCACGATTCTTCAGAAATTTATCTTTTTGCTCCTTAGATGCTCTATTAAAATATGCATGTAATAGCTAAAGAAAAAGTTTAAGACAATTTAGATCATATGTTAAAGTGTGATATATGCAAGTCAGACAAGGTAGCATACTTGTATTTGTAAGTTATTAATAAATATAGAATATAGCACAAAGAGATGCCACCTCTACAAGAGAAGTAATTCTGACTACTGTGGAATGCTAGTGCTGATGCTGTCTTGAGGATCTTAATTCTGTGGTGATAAAGTCGGCATTCCCAGATGAGCACGACTATCTTAAGTACTCTGGCAGCTTTAGTTGAGTATAAGTGAAATATCTGTGCCTAACTGTGAAGAAAAAATTTCAGTGTACTATGTTTTTTTCAGGAAACTTTCTCACGTTAATATTAATCTATCTATCCTTAAACATCTATATCTAGACATTTTTGTGTCTATGGTCCTGGGGATTGAACCCAGAGCTCTGTGTATGCTAGACAAGTCCGTTACTACTGAACTACACTTTTGAATCTACCTCTAGACTTCCTACCAGATTATTTATACTGAGCACAGGCTGGAATTTCTAGCCTTCCTAGTTTCTTACATAAAATTATTTCTCAGCTAATTAATTTTCCTTTCAAACCCACTTCTTCCCTGATTCCACACCGAAATGGACCTTAGCACCATTCCTCTAAATTTCAAGGTAAAACTGACTTTTCTATTCCTGGTCGCCACATTCAATTATGAAGGTACCTCTCTTCCACTCCAACAAACGTCTCTGTGCATCTTTTTACTTTAATCCAATTTGGAAACCCCCTCTGGAATTATTTCTCTGGATATCAGCCTAGTCTGCCAATAGCTGTAGTCATTTTTCCCATTTCATAGTTACTAAGCTGGCCTGCTAAGAGAATACCTCTTGCTCTCCTTCAATCACTCCCTCACAGTAAGGACAAGTAGTAAGGACAGTAGTACCAAACACACATTCATTTACTGCCCAGCTTAGAAAAGATTCTGGGTGACATCTGAGTTGAAAGTTCAAGTAAATGTCTAAAACTTGATAATACACTGCAGGAGAGATTTCCAGTGAAACCACATGTTCCTGGTAAATCTTTGTGACACTATATGTTCAGATATGTGAATTTACTGGTAGATTTTTAAAAATATGAATCAATATATGGAGAACTTACAACTGGATAATACATACAAAATAAAAGGAAATGACAGATCATATATATTGATTCATTAATTGTAAGTATAAAATAAAGCATATATATGTATATATATATATATACACATATATATATCTTTAGAAGTTTGTCTTCTTTAACATATTTAAGTACATTAAAAATGGGTTTTTTGGACTGGAAATTGAACTTAAGACCTTGAGCTTGCCAAGCAGATGATTTGCCACTGAGCTATATTCCTGACCCACAAAAATTTAAAATACATGTATGTTTATGTTTATTTTTCTGAATTAAAACACTTGCATAGGATTTGTCCTTACTTTAATAACTCCTTGTTGTATGGCCGGTGATGGATGATTAACGAGGACTAAGAGTGTATCTGCTTGAATAAGCTTTTCCATTACATCTTCCAGCATAACATCAGGCAGGATGAGGAGAATACCACTTAAGAGTTCATATAATCCACAGCATATAGGTATCAAGCAGTCTTCAGTGACACTAAGACAGAGACCAAAAGAATCTTACTAACTGTGCCAGGGAGAAAACTACATGATGATTACCTCAGGATCTATGATGAATGGTAATTTTTACATGAAACAAGTACTCATAAGGTTTAAGGAATATTTCCTAATTTAACTGTGATTAACAAAATTACCCTCATTTTCCATTACTGGTATTTTTAAGCATTTAGTATACTAAATACTGTTTTAGTCTGAATCTATAATGTAGTCATTGCCACTTGAGCTATTTTAACACTTTAAATTTAAATTAATAGTTCCCCAGCTGCATTGATCATATTTCAAGTGCTCAGTAGACACATGGCTGGTGTCCTCTGTAGTGGACAGCATAGAGAAGCTATTCCAATCACTACAGAAAATTTCACAGAATAGTGCCACTTGAGATGCCACTAGAAACAAGAATCAGTCCAGGTACTTCCCTGAAATAAAGAATTCTTCACTAATAGCTTCAAGGAATTAAGCCACAAGAGTTTTTTTTGTTGTTGTTGGTTTGGTTTTTTTTTTTTTTTTTTTGGTATCTTAGGGACAGATCTACTGGGTGTTCAAGGTCTCACTACTAGATCAGATTCATAGTGATCCGCCTTTTTACAGCCTCCCAAGAGCTGGGATTACAGACTCCTGCCACCACACCCAGTCTCAATTGCTGACTTAGCACGTACCAGGGGCAGGGCCAGCATGGCAGGCCTGGGGATCTAATCCTCAACCCCTGCACATGCTTGCAGGTGCTTTAATCCACTGAGCTATTTAGATGAGATTTTTTGAGAACTATTTAGCCTTTGGTTGAATATGGAATTAATATTACCTAATATTAAAATGAGGAAAGAAAGCATGTTTCTGTTTGGTATTAACACAAAGTTGTATTTTAAGAAATGGCATAATGAAGACATTTCTAGAAGTGAAGAATCTTCAAAGAAGAAACAGAGAGAGCACACAAATTGCAGGAGTACCTGTGAGCACTTATAGCTCGGTTATAGTTGGGTTGGTAACCAAGAGAAAAGGCCAAGTTTTCCCAATCATCAGTATTCCTATCAACAAGACTGGGCCAGCGACTGACAGTTGAAGCTCCATTCTGCGAAGGAAAAGCTAGCCCCAGACTTGCAATTGTGCTGTGGCTTTGCTGGAATGAGGATAGACCCTTTAGGTTATCAGGTCTGCACAGGCAGGAGTCGTCCCCCAGACTGTCATCATCTGATCTGTGCTCTGCTTCCAACTCTTTATGATCTACTCTGCTCATGGAAAATCCCAGCATTCCTTTTGGGATGCCACTGGCAGAGGTCTGAGATGTAGGAACAGCATCTGCTTCACAAACGGCTTTGGCAGACTCACAGCTACTGATGAATGTATCTTCTTTGCTTGCTTGCAGCATGTCTGAACTCCCCAAAGGATTCTGTTTCTCTGCCTGGGTAGCAACATAAGTATCTACAATGTCTTGTAACTTGTCAATGCTACAACCCAAACTTCCAGTCAATTTTTGTGGCTGTGTTAGTGGTGAAGTAGGAAATGCTGGTAGACTTCTAGAACGTAGCATGTGGGCAGCCATACCTGGTGGAATAATATTGGAGAAACTGCCTCCTAGTAAAAGTAAAGAGAAATATACTACTTAAAAGTCTGTTAAATGGGACCATTTTTCTTCTATACCATAAGTCACAACCATACTAACAGCTTACCTACCTAGCATGTTCAGGAATTCATCTAGATTATTTTTCCTAGTAATTAACACTTAAATTTCTTTTTCTTTTTTCTTTTCTTTTTCTTTTTTTTTCAGAACCAGGGAATGAACTCAGGCCCTTGTGCTTGCCAGGGAAGTGCTTATTCCACTGAGCCATCTCCCCAGCCCCAACACTTAAATTTCTTAAATGCCAACACTATTTTTTTCTTTAACAATTGTTATTAAGATATTCAAAACTCTTGTCTTTTTCTGTCTCCTCAATAAATACACTACTGACACAGCATGACTCAAAGGCATTTTCTGTGGCAATGAAAATTAGTGAAGTGGAGCTAAACTTACTCAGGCCAGTAGTCACTAGATGCAGACTGATACAATGGAAAATGTCTAGGCTTTTTATTTAGACATGGCTGCTATATGACAGTTCTGCTGGTTCAGTGATTGTAGGTAAATTATTCAATTATATTCCATAAATGTTAGTTTCTGCCCATGTAAAATGAGAATTCAGAATCTCTACTGTGCAGAATTTTTTCAAAGATTAAGAGAGATTATATTTGTGATGCATCTAACATAGCATCTATTATATAACAGGTGCTCGATACACAGTAGTAGTTGTTACTACTAATAACAGCCCTAACTATTCTTTCCTCCATTTCTGTAGTCACTTTTAGAAAAAAAAATAGGTTTCGCTCTTCATGCTATAGATCTCCAGTTTATTGTTTCAATATTTTATGTAGGAGGAGACCAGAAAAATCACTCTTATTAAAACAGTGCAAGACAGCAGCATGAGCACTAGCACAGGATGATTAGGACCTTACATTCTCAAGCTCTAGCTTGCATCTCCTGAACCAGAATGTTAGCAGGGGAAGGAACCTGTGTTTTAACAAGCTCTCCAGATGCTTTCTGTGCACACTGAAGCCTGGGATGCAGTGATACAAAATAAATGTAAATTCTATAGGCATTGAGGCAATAAAACAACTCCATAGCCCAGATTTTGTTTTCTAATTGTTCTGGATTTTGGCTGGAGGGCTAGAGCTATCAAAAGATTTCTGTTTTTGTAAAAAAAACCTGGTAAAGATGGCAGTATGACTATATTTAAAAATGTTTCAGAGTAATGCATATGATTTTAAAAATACACATTTCCTATAGAATTTCAAATAAAATTAATTAAAACATTGCCTTAGGTATTATACTAAAAGACCATAAAATGTGATAAAGAAAATTAAAACACTTTGGAAAGTAAACAAAACTAAGATATATTCCTAAGTATCCAATTCTATCTTCCTGTATCTATATTTTGCCTGCACTACTCATTAATTATATGGAGCTAGAGAAAAAGATTAGCTGAACTGACAATAAAAGCAATGTTGCAGGGCTAGGAGATAGCTCAGAGGCTTAAGTGCCTTCCTGGCAAGCACAAGGACCCAGGTTCAAAACCCAGTACTGTATACTATGCTGACCACTGAAACTGTAAGTGGTGGAGCAAGCCTGTAATTCCAGTGCTGGGGAGGCTGAGACAGGGTGATTACTACAAATCTGAGCTGCACAGCAAGACCCTGTACCAAATAAATAAATTAATAAATCTTAAAAAAAAAAAGCAATGTTGCACAATGGAAGAGAATTTATACACTAGGTAACTTGCATTAATTTTCTAGGAAAGAAGAGATATGGTAGTTTGTTAAGTAATTAGGGACATGCGTTAGGTGGGCAGAGAGACCAGACCACAGAGACCAGAGAAAGGGCTTGCACATGCCCTTGCCAGGAGCAGTAATCAGTGTCTGAAGCAGCAGCAAGGAGCCAGAAGTTGAGCTCTAGAGAATACCAACAGAGGTCCAGTCATAGCCTCCACACCCAGAGGCCAAGATCAGCTCCATACCCAGCACAATTCCCACAGCAAACTTGGCTGGAGTACACAGCACGTTTCTGGTATCTGATTTGGACACCATCACTGAACTGTGAACACCAGAGGTATTTTACTACTTTTATTCTCCCTTATGATTTGCTTTCCTTTTCCTGTCTGGTTTGATTTCAACTTGTTTTGTATTTTGTGGTTAGTTTTATGTTGGAGCTTTTTGTTTCTTTTTTCTCCTCTTTTTCTGGGCTCCTTTTTCCTTCTCTTTCTTCTTTTTTGCAGTGTTTAGGTTTCTTACCTTTTTTTGCTTGTTTATTTTCCTCTATGGATCCTTTCTTTCCTTTATTACCTTTTGAATTTATACTTTGAAGTGAATATTGTCTCTTCCTTTTCTGATTATTCCTTCCATTCTCTTTCGTTCTTACCCTCCTGTGTCCTCCAGTTTTCCAAAACACAGGTGATCTTTACTTGATCCCCAGCTTTGTTTCTACTATATTTGATCTCATTCATCACTTTTTCCTCTCTTCCACCCATATTAACCTCTCTGCCCCTTTTTCCTATTAAGGGGAAAACAACTGCATACAAGTACATGGTATATGTTTAATTTTGTGATATAACTTTAGTGTTTGCTCCTGTGGTTGGAGGTGTCAGGTTGATGGTTATGATAATTTGTCAGTAGTTAAGCTGTATTCAAAAATATTGTTGTTGCTAACTGTACTACTTTAGACAGGATGTCATGATATAATCAGTTTTTCACTCTTGTAAGATAACACTGTGATAGTATGGTGTCATAATCCTCACCACAGTCTAATACCAAAGGACTGGGTGCTGAGCCAAATAGTAACTTTGCATTGTTTACAAATTAGGAAAGTAGTTTCCTGAGATAGCTATAAAGAACCACCTACATAGAGGATATCACTGAAGAACAGACAGCAATTAGGAAAATCTCTATACTAGTGATAAGGCTATCTACCATAAGAAGTTGGCAAGTATCCAAGCAGAAAACAAAATAAGAATAAGAAAATAGAAAATGACAAGACACAGATGCAAAATGCAACTCTAGACCTCTAGGGAATCTAAGACAAGTCTGGAGCATAGTAACATACATGAAATTGGAAGTCAAATACTAGAACTTTCTGGGGCTGGGGAGATGGCTCAGTGGAATAAGCACTTCCCTGGCAAGTGCAAGGGCCTGAGTTCAATCCCCAGTTCCTAAAAAAAAAATACTAGAACTTTCTGAAAGCAACATAAATGAAAAAAACAAGTGGAAAAAGGTGATAGACTTTTCCACCTTAGAAAAGATAGACTAATTCCTCAGGTACAAAAATAAATGATACTTAAAAATCAAAGATATTAGAGAACACATTAGCTTAATAAAATTTTGGAAACAACAAATACCTAACATAGGAAAGACATGGAATCCATGAAACAAATCCAAACAGAAATTCAAGAGATTAAAACCTCCATGGAAAGTATATACAACAGATTCAATGGAGAATAGAATTATTAGTTCTTGAAGACAGAACTGCAGCTGGTGATCAAGAAAAAAAGATATCTTAAAAATAGCAAGAGACCATGAAAAAATCAACTCAACAGCCTCAAGTGAAGAAAAGAAGAAGAAAGTAAGATTGACTTGAGTTAGTGAGAAATCTGGAGACAGCAGAAATGCCATAAAAAAAACTCTTCACAGAAATAATAGCAGAAAACTTCCCAAGCACAAATAAAAAATCTGACATACAAATAAATGAAGTATATGTACTCTAAATAGCAATGAATAAAATAAAATTATAACAAGACACATAAAAATCAAATTTCCAGAAATTCAGTACAAGAACAAAATATAACAGCAGTTAGAGAAAAGAAACTAATCATCTATAAAGGAAAACCATCAGAGTCACAGCAGACTTCTCAACACAAATCCTCAAATGAAGAGGAACTTGGGAGTGAAATATTTCAAGCCCTCCAACCTAGATTGATGGACCCAGCAAAACTATCTTTCAAAATAAATGGAGAAATAAGATAGTTCCAAGACAAAGAACATCTGAGGAAATTCATGATCACCAAACCAGCTCTTCAGAAAGCATATATTTGAAAGAAAAATGAAGACCACAACCACAGAAAGAAGCCACCAAGCAGGGCATGCAATTAAACAGAGGGGAAAGACAGGGAGCCAACAACAGGAAAATAACATGGAAAAAATAAGCTAAAACATATCAGTTGTAACCATCAATGTAAATAGTTTCAACACAGCAATCAAAAGAAACACACTGGTAGAATGGATTAAGAAGCAAAATCAAACAATTGTATTCAAGAACACAATATACTCATAGGCAGAAAGCTAAAGAACAGGTGTGGGAGAGCTTCCTGCTGCCCTGAGCCAGCGGGACCTACTACTGGTCCCAGCCCAGGCACAGCGTGGGTGAGACCCTCTTCCACCCACCTGGGATGCCCCCCCACCACTCCGCAGCACCTCCCCCAACCCGCCTGCCCAGTAGGAATTTCTGCCGCATTCCAGGAACCCCCAGACCCAGTCCTAGCCCAGGCCCAGTGAATGTGTGGGAGAGCTTCTGGCTACCCTGCACCAGCGAGACCAATTACTGGTCCAAACCCAGGTGCAGTGCAGGTGAGACCCTCTTCCACCCCCTTGGGACGCTCCCCACCACTCCGCAGCACCTCCCCCACCCCACCCGCCCAGTAGGAATTTCTGTCACTTTCCGGGAACCCGCAGTCCAAGTCCTAGCCCAGGCCCGGTGAGTGCGTGGGGGAGCTGCCTCTCCCCTCTTCTCCACCTTGTCCCCTCCAGGCTCAGCTCAGGCCTGGCATACAGGCCTGGGGTATAACCCTGCAGCTGCAATCCCTGTAGAGAGTGTAGAGGATAAAACCACACAGCTAGTCCAGGAGCAGAAAATCTTGCCAGAGGGCACAACAGGTTCACCTCCAAGGACAGCAGCAGGAAGGAGCTGAGCATAGCAGCCAGGCCCAAGCCAGGCACACCTGGATAAATCCAAACTTTGTAGATCTGCACCTGAACTTCAGTAAGTTCTAAGGTTATAA